TGAAAAATATAATTTATTAACTCTTGTAAATATTTTTTTGTTTCATTTGACTACTATTTATAAATGATTTTAAAATTATAATCTGTGATGATAATAATAATATAATAGATATTAATAATATAGAAGAAATAATCTTTATTCTATTATTAATAATAAAAATTAAATTTTTATTTTCTGTATAATATTCTTTACTTAAAAATTAAAAATTAGAACGTAAAATAAAAATGTGAAATCTAAAATTTGGAATATATCTATTTAGATTCATCATAACTTTATTACAATGTATTATAAATTTTTGGACTTTTATCTCATTATAACAAAAAAATTAAACTTTTATATATGTAGTAATATTACGTAGAACATTCTTTATTCTGAGGATTTTTTATGTTTATTTTTTATATTTATTTTTTAATCAAATTAAGGAATAGTAGCAGTATTAAAAAGTTAGAGATAATTAAGTAATTTTTATTATCTGAAGAAGATACGATATTTATTAAATTATAAAAAAAAATTTACAACTATTCTTAACTTATTTTAATTTAATTAGCTGAATTAATAACATGTTATAATATAAATTATCTCAATAATATCAAAAAACAAAAATGAAGATTATTTTTAAAACGATTTCTTTAACTCTTTTTTCTCAATTTTAAATTATGGTTTTCTTATAAATTAAAGAATTAAAGATATGTTTTTTATCATTTGAGCAAAAAGATATTTATTATATTTTAAAAAAAAATTAGCAATTCAATTTTTAAAGACCTAATTAAAATTTAAACAGAATTAATAACACATTACTTTATTGAAAGCAATATCAAAAGATATTATTTTTAACGATTATTTTAATTTTTTTTCTCCAATTCCATTACTTAAAAACACTCACATCCAACTACTTATCCAATCAACAGAAACCAATCTTCACACCTTATCTTCATACAAAAGTATTATACTAACACAAACTAAAATCAAGTGAACCTCAACTGAACTCGTTTTATGTCACACGTAGGAGAGCCTTTTACCACTTTTTGCCTCGTCTCGAACGAGATTCACGACAGCCTGCTACCTGACGGATTAACGGATTGCCAGCTATTATTATCCTCTGACAGGAACACCGTCGATGTCTTAAGCAGCTCGCGGTACCTTGAACGTAGGTATACACACTGTTCTTTCACTGTTGGGTCAGATTTATCCCCGCGAGTTCTACGAATCTCATGAACCAATGTCGGTTCTCCACCGATAATATACCGATTATTTATTAAGATTGGCCCGATGATGAATGCGTCACATAATATGTGGGACAGCGTATAAAACACGGTAGCACGAGTCTTCTTATATAGAGTGTTCAAAAAGAATCATTTAAGATTTAAATGACACATAGTACACTGACAACATTATCTCGTTCTCAAGGTATTCCAAAAAATATGTTTTCAAACTTCAATTCTGAAATCTGATTTCATTTCTTTAAAAAAAAAATATGTATCAAACATTTTTTTTTAGATCTACTTTTCCTATAAATTTTATAAAAATCAATATTTCATCAACTTCGATATGTTTTTCTGTAAATAAAAAAAACTTTAGTAAATATCAATAATTTCAAACTCAATAATTTTGAAAATAATTTAATTTTCAAAATAATCATTATGATTGATATTCTGACTTGTCAATATTTACAAATATTTTTTCATATGATTAAGAATATTAGATTCATCAATAAGAATAATTATTCGAATAGAATTAAAATTTTTACGAATTAATAATAACCAAATTTTAATTCAATTGTAATTAGATATGTATTTCTAATAATTTTTTTTATAATTATACCATTTTTAATTAAAAGATTTGGAAACTGTATAATTCTTTTAATATTACTTTCATGAGATATAGCTTTTCCATGAATAAACAATATTAGATTTTGATTATTATCATCATTAATTTTAATATTATTAAAATATTTATTTCATCCAAGATCAGATTGAATTTGTTTATTTACTCTTATCTTAGTACTTTTATTTCTATCATTCTTCACCTTCAATTATAATTTTTTTTTTGCATATATTCTTTTCACATATTCTTCCATTTCCACATGTGTTTGCCATCTTTTTCTTAAGAACTCGCAAACTCTCTCGAAAATTCCAAATCTTTATCAAGTTATTTGATAAATATGTTGAATTCGTTATTGGTGAAGAATTGGCATATTTTTGTTATAAAGTTTACATGAAATTAAAATATTCAGAAAATAGTTTATAAACATTAAGAAAAATATCGCAATAATATATATATATATATATAGTAGTAGTATATATAGTAATAGTATATAGTAAGTCAATCATAGTATTAATATAAAACAAAAAAAATGATTATATTTTAAAAATGAAATATTAACAAGTTTTCAAGAATTATATTTATTAAGAATTTATTTTTTTATTCAGTATATAGTATGCTCTATTTGGTATGTGAATACTGAATGATTTTTTTTGAACACCCTGTATAGATAGTATCGTGAGTACAGAGCTCGATTTTAACGAACCGCTTAAATCAAAGTAGTTCGACTCGTGGTGGAGACATACGCGGTTAAATTATGCCGATTCGAATTGCCGGCGGATTCGTGACTGTCCTTTATCATCCTTAGACGAGTATGCGTGGGCGAGCTGAAAGATCATCAGGGAAAGTGAAAGCATCGAACGTGGGACACGTAAAAATACGCGTGTCCGACCGATTTTTAAGCCTCGATTCGCTCCTGTGGTCTTGTTACAGCGAAGTAATCGGTGATTAACGATGACAATGCATTATTTTGCACTCTGAACGTTACTTAAATTGGTATTTTATGTTGTGGATTAATTTTAGTACATTGCGAAAAACATCGAAGATGTGGAGGAATTTTTTTTTTAAAGATTTGGAAATATTCATCGTATTGAATTAATTTATTGTGCAATTTTTGTTAATAAGAATTTGAATGAAAATCTCAAATTGAGTATAGTGTAATTTTATGTAAATCACAAATTGCAAAATATTCAAAATCAAAAGTCGATCGAAAATAAAAAAAAAAGAAACATTTTTAATGTTTGAAAATCAAAAAAATATTTATGTCACAATGTTGACGTTACATTATAGATTTTGATCACGATAGATTTTGATATGTTTCATTCTTAACATTTGTCGAAATGTCGAATTCAAATTAATATTTGCTATAATAAGTAAAAAAAAAACTATCAATTTTTGAATATATATAATACCATTAAATTCAGAGAAAAATTATATTTATTATTGCTCTTAATTATTTTGCTTTATTGCCGTGAAATAAAATAATATATGTAATATCATGTGCTTTTTCGATTGTTTCAATAAAATAAGGCTCTCTATGTTATCGAAGGCTGTCTATATCTATCAGATACAATATAATTAACCATCATTATCTCGTAAATATAAACTGTTATTCGAAGTTTCAATTGACATTATGTGGTTGAATACTTTATGAATTGTTTCTAAGAAATCCAAATTCAATTTGGATATTATAATCAATTGGATAGATTTTATATATTGATAAGAAAAATATCAAGAAAATTGATGAAAAAGAATTATTTTTCATCAGAATCTTATATATTATTTCCTTTAAAATATCATTTTTTTTTGGATTAATTTTTTTCCGGAAAAAATGAAGATTTCTCGAAATTTTATAGAAAAAGAAAAAAAATCATAAATGAAAATAGAAAATAAAAATATTTATCTTTGTAAAAAAAAATATATATTTTTGGCTCATTTAATAAATATCTATTTATTAATAAAAAATATCTACAAATATATATATAAAGAATACAATAAAATGATAATCACAATAAAGATTATAATGTATAAAATATTTTGTCAAAAATAATTAATGCATTGAAAATTTTCAAATGATCGAAATTAAGTATTAAATTCAATATTTGACATTGATAATGAACAAAATCTTAAAAACGAATTGCATTTTATTTCAGTTACAGTTCAGTCATAAAAAAAGTAATATATCTTTCAAATAGAATAAGCTTGAAGAAAAAAGTAATTGTAAAATTGTAAAATAAAATGTAAATATATAGCAATAAATTGATAAAATCATATATATTTTTTATTCTTATTGTATTAAATATATAATTATAATTTTTATTCTAAATTTGAATTTTACTTAAAAAATTGATAGAAAAAAATATTAAAATACTTTTAAAATACAAAGAGAAATTTAAAAGAAATTAGAAGTGAATAGTAATGTTTGAAAATAAAATAGTGACTTTGAAAATTATAGTGCATTGTAGTTGGAAATATTCTTCTCTAATTTCAATATTTATATAAAAATTATAAATTTAATATAATTTATATATAATTTTAAATATCGGTATATAGTGAAAGATAAAATTTGTACTATTTTACAGGAAATTCAACTTCATTCTAATTTAAAGATTTTAATTTTAATGAAATTTTGTGTATATAAAAGATAAATAAATTATAAATAGAACAATTTGTTTGAAAATCTCTTTAAAATCCATTCCCAAAGTTTTCAATATTTTTTATAGAATATAGAATTTATTTATTATTATAAAATTTTTTATAGAATAGAATTTCATCTAGAGACTTTTTCTAGCAGAAATCATCACTAAAAATAGAATATTTTAAAATTTAATTTATAATTTTGTTCTATTTTGCATCATTACAAAAATCATCATAAAAAAAATAATATATAAAACAAAACATAGATTGAAACTTTGAGCATTGATATTGCGTTGATGCTATTGTATCTATATGATATATTATGTTAACTACTTATTATGTTTTATCTATTTTGTTTTATAATTCAATGCTATATTTCAACTTCGAATAATTTAAATATTATTAGTAAAATACTTTTCACAGAAAATATTAATTTTAAAGATTACATTTATTTTTCGTCTTTAAGAATTTTTTCTAATGATTATAATGATTTTATTCATTTTTTTAAAATTCACATTTTAAAACAGAATATTTATATTTCTTAAAAAATAAAATATTCTTCAATCAATTATTTTCTTTCTCTTTTAATAAATATCTAATATAAATCCTCAAAATCTTAAATTGATTTAACATAATACATTCTATAATAAGATATTTTTTATCATATTCATATTTTTTTTGTAGAACGCAATATCTTTAAAATACAACAATCAACATAAGTTTCAATGATTAACATCAGTCACATCTGATGACTACACCATCAATTACACTTTTTTGTAATTGCAATTATATAAAAAAGAAAAAAAATAGATTTCTTTCCAACTCTTTTTCTTCTTTACAAAAATTTTAATTCTCACAAATATCCGCAATTCAATAATTATTTCTTATTTCCTTAATAAGTTAAAACATTTCTTTCGATTTTCAATCCTTATATTCTTTTCCTCTAGCAAACATCAATATATTAAAAACCACATATAAAACAAAATCCTTCTTCACTCTCTCTTTAAAATCCATAAATCTCTCGAAACACGTTACCCCATCCTTAGGATCTACGTTATTCAAAATTCTTCTCAAACATTCAGCTATCCCATAATCAACCCATGATCAAGGAAGATCAATTGGCCGCGGCGGTCAAAAAGGCGGTCTTCTAATCCTCGTAGAATGGTCTCATAATAGCATAAAGTCAAAGGAAATCAGGCTACTTCGCCGATGTGGACACATGTACCACAGTGGTGGCCGTGTCTCCGGGTGGCGCGAAGCGTGAGAAGAAAGGCCGCGTGGAACACGGAACTATTCGTGGCGCGACATAAATTCGGGACAGGACTACAGCTTGGACCGATCCG